GCTGAAGTTGGATGCTCAACCGACTGAGCCACCCAGGCGTCCCAAATAAAATATATATTTAAAAGCTGCCTTATGTGAGCTCATGGATAGGTTAACTAATCTTACAGTGATAATCATTTTACAATATATACATATAAAATGTGTATCTATGTATTTGATACATATATGTATATATATACATACATACACACTTATGAAATCATTACACTCTATACCTTAAACTTACACAATGTTACATGTCAATTACATAAAGCTGGGGGAAAAATTGCCTTAAGTCTTTTTACAGACTTGGCCAGATAGAAATAAACAAATACAATCAAAGTTATTTTAAATTGTTTTTAGCTGGAGGAGGGATGACAGGCTGATTTACCTATGAACCATAAAATTGGAAAGTGTAATTTTAATACTTATAATTTTTCAGCTCCAGACAAGAATCCACAAAACATAAGGGTTCAAGCCTCTCAACCCAAGGAAATGATTATAAAATGGGAGGTATGTATTCTTTAATGTGTTATACACTACTTTGTGTTCTTTTTTTTTTTTCTTTCCTTTAGATCTGCATGCTACGTGTAAGGATAGGAAAATATTTTTTAAGAATTTATAAGATTTAAGAATTTATAAGACTTGTATATTTTATAAATGTATTAAATTTGTATATTTTACAGATCTTTGTGATTAGAATATTATTAGAATGTTAAACAGTGGTAAATTATGTAAAGTTTATAAAGGTTGATATAATTGTGATCAATTATCAAAATTGTCAGATTTTTTAGTATTTTTACAACTAGTATTCTCAATCCTTTCATGTAAAAAATATACTCAAAAATTTTCACTAAATTTTAGTACATGGTCTAATAAACATTATGAATATCTAAAGGATGGCTGCCAAATAATACCCACTACTTACTAAGCACGATCAAGCTTTTTGTATACTGTTTTCTAATTCCGAGAACAACCTTGTCATTTACAGCTTTGTCTAGATATAGGAGCTGAGGTCAGGGTGATTGGCACTAGACATCAACAAACCTAGGGTATCAGCATAGGTATCTGTGGACTTTAAACTGTACTTTTTGCCCCTATATATATCTCTATTAAAGGTTATGAAGTAGACTTTCGTCTTTGAATTTGGCATGAAATTTCACATCTGCTCAGATGACTTTTTTTTGAGTGTCATTTCTAAATTTCTTCTTAGTGGGTAATTCCCCCCCCCCCCCTTTTTTTTGGACATATTCATGAACAAGTAATTTAACCTACTTGAAAGTAGATTACCAAACATTGTGATTTGAATAATAGACTTCCAACATTAAATTCACTGAATTGTATGTAAATGTAGAACATTCTTGCATGTATGCCGGAATATACTATTTTATTTCTAAACCTCTTTCCAGATACGATTTTGCGAAGGGTTTTAGGATGTATGAACCTTAGTTTGATGTTTTTTAGTCAATATTTTTATATTAACACTAACCCATTATTCACATTTCAGTGCAATTAAAGTTTGCGAATTTGAAATTTGAAGACAAATGGTAATACACAGAATCTAAATATATCCAAGAATATTATTTCTTTCCTTGAATTTGTGGTCATACATATTTGCTACTACATTGTCTTGATAATTACTTAATTTATAATCTGAAATTATGTTAATATCTTATTCTTGTAGAGTCTCTGTCCTTTTCTCTCTTAAGTTTCATAGAAATTTCCATCAGACAGATGTTATAAGTGGTTAGATGAAAATAATAGCATGTAATGATCAGGCCGGTTCCTCAGAGAAACACACCATGGCATACCAGTATCAGCTCATTAGTCGTCCGCACTCCTGAAGGGCCACCGCAGCTCGATGCTATCAGCTGTATGTTTCATACAGAGAAGCTGGGACTCTCATTTTAATGACCTTACCCAGATGCCCTGCGCTGAGTCAGTGATGAAAAGAGGGCCCGACCCCCACCCCTGCTTTTGCCCTTCCCGTCTGCTATCTTCGTTGGGGGCCTCTTTGAGAATTTGCTGTGGTTTTGTTGCCAGTTGTCTGAAAGCCAAATACAAAATATTCCTCCAGCTTCTTCCGGAGTCCAGGCACCCAGGAGCCTGGTGATTTAGATAAGATTTTTCTTAAAAGTGTTACCTATGGTGGCAGTTTATTTTAAAATTTGCCAGAGAGCTTTATCAAATGTAACAATTTTTCTTGGAGCAAAACATGTGTAAATTGAATACTTTTATTTGTGCACATTTATTGTTGGTAGAGGCTGAAGGAACCGTAATTCCAGATTGCGGTATGAAACTAGAAGCTTGTGGCCTGATTCATCTGGGCACTGCTAGAGCCCCTGGTGAATTTATATCCTGATGGTAGTAATAATTACCTCGGTGCAAAACTTTGAATGCAAAGTATAGACAGTGACTGAAATCTCAGAAGGGTTTTGTTTTGTTTTGATTTTTTTTCCCCTCATAACTAATTTAAGGAATCACCTTGGAGTCCGTGTAACTTGAAATTGTTTTGCTGATATAGCACTCCTTTCAACCTAATTCCAGCCAATCCATCTAAAGAGTATTTTAGTAAATTGGACTGAGTCAAGAAGCTTTGTCTATACCCACAAAATTACTGTTTATTTAAGTGAACCTTACACTCTAGGACTAAAGTCACATTTTTATGTATTCTATATAACAGATTCGTTTAAATGCATATTCCCATTTTTGGAATGAAATAGGTGGTTTAAATCACTTTAACTTTTTTTAATTAAAGTAATGCTTGATTAAAAATGAGAGTGGAAATAGCCAATTTCCTATACGAGAAATTCCTCCACTAAATTTTCTTTTACAGCAAAATATAGTGGAAGCTGGTAATGGGAGGGGGGCACTTTGTCTTAACGAAATAGTCAAGAAGCTAGAGAGTTATTTTATTATAGAGAAGAGCTATATCTTCTAGGTGCTAATGTGTAAACATGCATATTATCCAGAAATAAGGATTTACTCAATCTCTCTCTTCTCTTGAAAAGCAGATGGAGAAGGATGGATGGGGTCAGGTGGAAAGAGTTCTGACTGAAAATTCATGGGAGATCTCTTTCACAATCATGCAGTTCATGATCATGCCCTTTTTATATTTCCTAGTTCTTTGGTCATGAAATAGTAGAGGAAAATTTAGACAAAAGCAAAAGTCCTCTGTGGAATTTCTTAGTAAATCCTTTCATATACGAACAGTGAAACTTAACCACAGGAGCATAATCAAGGCATCTAAATTGTGGCTCCTTACTACTTAGGTAGGTGAAGGACTAACTTTCAAACTTAGAGAAAGACAAAAATTTTCCTAAGCGTTTCTAAGCCAGGGGGAGGTTTACGATCTTCCAAGACCCGATCCCTCTATTGCAATGTTTCTTAGGCAATTTAGGGTGGATTGCCGCCGTCTCTGACTCAGCATATCTGTGATCACACTAGATGAGTCTTACCTTTTGTCTTAGCCTTTGAAATCCATGGAGCAGAATGGACCAGGACTAGAGTACAGAGTGACATGGAAGCCACAGGGAGCCCCCGTGGAATGGGAAGAAGAGACGGTCACAAACCACACCTTGCGCGTGATGACGCCTACTGTCTACGCTCCTTATGATGTCCAGGTCCAAGCCGTCAATCACCTTGGCTCTGGCCCTGAGCCTCAGTCAGTGATTCTGTATTCTGGGGAAGACTGTAAGTGATACACCTGAAACCGCCAAGCACCTCTTTCATGTATATTGCATTTCTATTGATGAACATTTTTGAGCAACTACTGCATGCAAAGAGGATATACTAGCTGTGGGAGATTAACAGAAATATAACACTTGGTTCTTACTTGAGGGTTGACTGTAGGATAGCTGATCACTATAGAGTGGTAAGGAAGTATGTTAAAAGTTTTAATTTTATTCAACTTCCCAGTAAACCCATTTCTATATTAAAATCAAAGATGAGTAATCATCACTGTAATTAGTTGATCAGTATAACTGTCATATGGTTTCCAGTGACATTTGTCCTTACTTATCAAAGACTTCCTAACAACCATCTGCTGCCATGCACTGGCCTCACTCACTTGTATGTCTGGAATCTTCCTCATGCAGATGAGATGCAAACTGAGATTTGTATATAGAATTACACACACACAGTTTTGAGGTACTACTGATATGCTCATATTATTAAATACTTAGACCATAATAACAAGTAGGTTATTGAAAAAAGGAAAGATGCTCTATTTCATGTCATTAAGGCATTACTCTCATTATTCTTCCAGTGTCCAGAGTAATATTTTGATCCAAGAATGGAAGGTTGAGAATGTGAAATGACTTAACTCCTTATTTGCCTGCTACCTAAATTCTTCTACCCGAGTACACCAGAAACATCACTGTGAACTAAGATATTATTTATCTTGGCTACTCTGCATTTGGCTTATTCTTCTATACTTAGTTCTCTGTAGAATGGGGATAATACTACTACTTTATTGCATTGTTTTCAGGATTATGTGAGCCAATCCAACGTTGCCTACACTTAGCATATGCTCAGTTAGCTTTTGTTCCCAAAAGATTGATCAAATTGTCAAGTAATTTTAGTTACATTGTTTAGTTCACCTGCCTCTAAAGGCGAGATACCCACAGAGTATTTCACTGGCCACTGTTTCTAGTAACATTGCCCCTGCCTGGAGAGCTGCATTTCTCCTAGAAACCTATTAGGGCCCTGAAACTCCTGCGAGTTGAGAAACTCTCTTGGTTCCATTTGGAATTGATTTCCTAAGAGTGCTTTGCTCAGATTAAGCATTATGAAAAATCACCTTTTGAAAAGGGGATACAGTCACATTTAAAGGTTATTGAAAACTCATGATTCTTATGTGCTTAACAGATCCTGATACAGCTCCAGTGATCCATGGTGTGGATGTTATAAACAGCACCTTAGTTAAAGTTTCCTGGTCAACAATTCCAAAGGACAGAGTCCATGGACATCTAAAAGGATATCAGGTTTTTATTATAGATTTTCTTCTTGTTGCTGAATAAATATCTTAAATGCAAATAAGAACTGATCTCAGAAGAAGCTACAAGAGCATCTGCCACCATGGCCAAAATGTTAAAGCATTCCTATTTCCATTGCAGATAAATTGGTGGAAAACAAAAAGTCTGTTGGATGGAAGAACACATCCCAAAGAAGTAAACATTCTGAGGTTTTCAGGACAAAGAAACTATGGAATGGTTCCTTCTCTAGATGCCTTTAGTGAATTTCATTTAACAGTCTTAGCCTATAATTCCAAAGGAGCTGGTCCAGAGAGTGAGCCTTATATATTTCAGACACCAGAAGGAGGTAAGAATAACAGTGGACAATAATGCCAACAATGGGAATTATGCCATGGGCAAATTAAACATTTCCTTCCTTACTAGTAGTTAATTAATATGTACTCCATATGAGTTAGCTTCTCAATTTCTATAAAAAACTGTAATCTAATGGATATTAAAAAAAAGAAACTTACCAATTTATAAGTGTCTCTTCTTGATCTTCTGTTTTCTAGTACCTGAACAACCAGCTTTTCTGAAGGTCATCAAAGTTGATAAAGACACTGCTACTTTAACCTGGGGACTACCTAAGAAACTGAATGGAAACTTAACTGGCTATCTATTACAGTATCAGATAAGTAAGCAGAAATTTGAATTGGGTCCACCTATTAATATTTCATTACTGGTTGAGTATTTGGTTTGCTATTCTGAGAATCTAATGATGGTGGTTTGTAAGCTGGCATACTACCTTAACAACAAAGGGGTTTGTAAATTGGCTTGCAGACCAAATCCAGCCCTGCTGCCTGTTTTCAGAAACAGGCCATACATGTCCACTCATTTACATTTGTCAATAACTGCTTTCTCACTACAGTGGCCAAATTGAGTAGCTGTGGCAGAGATTACATGGCTCACAAAGGCTGAAATATTTACAATATAGTTCTTTTCAGAAAGGTTTACCAATCCCTGAATCAGAGGAAAAGTCAGTAGGTACCAGAGGGTATATATTTAATATTTATGCATAAGAAGCTTTGAGAATTAAGAAACGTGCCAAAGAAAAGCATTAGTAAATGAGGTAACAGAGATTCAGAGCGCGTGTAACTTCCACCCTGCACTTCTTTTGTCTCCAACACATGCTTCTGGCCTCAACCTTAAGCGTACTTCTGTTTGTAGAAACCTCTGTGGATAGCCCGCTGGTATAGCACATTGTATTGTGAGCCTTGAGTTGTTTTGCCTCATTACTCAGACTGGGCTCTGCCCTTGTGCTGCTGTGACATTTGGTTGAAAACACGCTTATACAAAATCAGGTTATTTTTAATCATAGTGCCTTCCATGTGTAACAGTCTTTACATCTAAGCATCATCTCAAAGTGGAAATTAGGGAACTGAGGTCATAGAAAATTTTAGATTTTGAGGACATGAATTCCATACCCGAAACCCTAGGACTGTGCTGCTTGCAAAAGCCATCTTGATGATGGTCTCAATGAGCTATTCTGCGTCCAGGTAGTTCAAAGCTTGTAGCAATCCAGGTCATGTATGAGTTTTAGCTCCTAAGGTCTGTTCTGAGTTGGGCCATATAGTTACATAGATACAGGCATAATCCCAGTAGAGGTAGCATGTTAGCATTTTTTGAGTGTTTGCTCAGTAGCAGGATCAGTACCAAGTGCTCTCCCCATATTTTTTCATTAAAATGGAAAATATATGAGGGATGTATTTTCACTACTTTGTGGATGTCAGAATTGAGGCACGCAGAGTTCACCTAACTAGAGCCATGTAGTAAAGTAAGTATTAAGCAGGATTCCAGCCTAAATCTGTCTGATTCTCCATGCTGAGCTCTTAAGCCTACAGTATTCTATGAACAGGTTTTCAAATATATAGACAGCACTGAAGAAATACTTGAAGACTTTTAAACTGTTAATTTGTTTGGTAAAGGTATGATTTATGTATCTGAAGAGTAAAGAAATTCAACATTAATTTCAACCTTTGTGTTGATTTGTATGTAAGATTTAAATTTTTGTTAAAAAACAAGTTCTTAGAGAAAAGGCTGGAATGTTAACAACTGCAGTGATTATCATACTCCTTGATATATGGATTTTTAATCAAATGATGTAATTGTACACTTACTTTGCTTTCTGTTAAGGTATTGAAATATTTTTGGATAACTTCTCTCTTTCCGTTGCTTTGTATGTTCTAAATAGTTGTTGATTGTGTGTATGAGAGCTCTCTATATACTTCTCTAAATTTGTAGATTGATTACTGTTGTTTTTCAATGGACTTTGTGGTATTTTATAGGAATGCTCTCAAATCTGTGAAGAGTGATTTTTTTTTTTTAATTTCCAACATGTGGATCTTTGTTTTTCTTGTTCATTGATCTAATTGCACTATATAAACCAAAAAAAGGCATTTTTATGTCGAGTGTGTGTGTTTGTGTGTGTGTGTGCATGTATATATATGTATATATTTTTAACCTATGTGATATGTTGGACTAGCATCAAAAGGATTTATTCTAGCCCTTCCCTTGCTACTAATGGCTGCACAATTTTGGGATATGTTTCGTTTCTTGGACTATTTTTATGGTAATCCCATTTATGGTAATACCATAAATCCCATGGTCTTGATGGTCCAAATTGTTTGAAAGATGCTGTCTAATAATTCATCTTTTTCTGATTAGCACTTGGCATAGTTCTTAGTATATAGTAGGTATCTTATAATATATAATTTATTAATCAGTTTATTGGTTCTGCATATAATGAGGACTTATTTGGTGTCTCATATTAAACCAGAAGCCATGGGAGACAACAAATCATTGGGGCACCTGGGTGGCTTAGTCAGCTGAGCATCTGACTTCGGCTCAGGTCATGATCTCACAGATTGTGGGTTCAAGCCCCATGTCGGGCTCTGAGCTGTCAGCACAGAGCTCAGAGCCTGCTTCAGATTCTGTATCTCCCTCTTTCTCTACCCTTGCCCCGGTCATACTCTGTGTTTCTCTCTCTCTCAAAAATAAATAAACATTAAATTTTTTTTTTAATTAAATGAATTTGGACAAAACATTGTCCAAATTATTCTGCTAAAAGATTAAAAGCGCTTACGTGAAAGATTCAATGAATATATAATATGGGAGGAAAGTCCATCATTTTTAATAGGTATAATGACAGTGGAGTGATTCGCTCCAGTGTGGCAGAGTGATCAAGAACATGGGCTCTGGAGTGGAAAGGCTGTGGTTTGGATTCAAATCTTGGTTTGCGAGTTACTAGCTCTGGATTGAGGCAAGGTGTTTATTCTTGCTAGACCTCAATTTTCCCATGTATGATATTGTAATAATAATTATGTCCACATCATAGAATTGAGTAAGTTGTTGGCCATTAATCATTAAGGTAGTGCCTTGCATACCACAAGTGTATACAGAATCAAAAATAAGGAACAACACAAGTTGAAATGTTAAGAGTATGAAATCTAAGGCATTGCTGTTCATGTTTATTTCTTTAGTAAATGACACCTATGAACTTGGAGAACTAAATGATATCAACATTACCACCCCATCAAAGCCCAGCTGGCGTCTCTCAAACCTCAATTCGACTACCAAGTACAAATTCTACTTGAGGGCTTGCACTTCAAAGGGCTGTGGAAAACCAATCACAGAGGAAGGCTCCACATTAGGAGAAGGGAGTAAGTGCAAGAGGTTCCTGCATGCTGTTTTTTAAATTGCTCTGAAGGGAACATACCATGCTATCCCTTGTGAATTAGAAATGATTGTGGTCTCAATCTGTTTGACCTTTTGTTTTCCACTGATACAGATACAAAATTTATTTCTCTTGTGTGTAAAGTTCACATTGACTCAATTTATGGATTTCTACACAACAGCATGAAACTATAGCCTCAGTGTATATAAGGTCAGGGACTATAATTTTACTTAATTAAAATAGGAGTATGTAAGTCCATGAAGTTATTCATAAGGTTAGTAGAGGGATATTTTTCTTTCGGAAATTTTTCATAACGAAAAAATTTTGCCTCTTGTCCTGGTAGACATTTTGTAACAATGATCTAATACATTTAACTTCCATGTCTTGACTCATATATATAGACATACATACAAACGCGCGTGCGCGTGCACACACACACACACACACACACACACACACACGTATATATATATTGATTCATGTATCAATTTAATTTAACTGTTTACTGGTTGATGTCAAATACTGACTTGGAAATGACCCATCAATCTCTGGTTTCATTTGTGTAAGTCTGCGAATTCAGTTGCACTTTTCTGGTTTGTTTTGTTTTGTTTTGTTTTGTTTTGTTTTTTCCAACTCAGACCCATTTTCCTTCCCAAATTGTTTCAGCAATTATAATTTTAGCAGTGTTTTTGCTAAGCTTAAAAGGAGAGAAATTAAGAAGTTAGGGCCAAAAAATGGAAATGAAACAGAGGAACTGCTGCACAGATATAAGTTAAAAAAGAGGGCTTTGTATAGGATTCAAGTTGATTGGACCTAGAAGGATATTTGAGGAAGACAAGAAGGAAAAGGAGATGGCAGGAAGGGAAATATAATCATTTGTTTATTTTCTACTGTATGTTAGCCATTGCTCTGGATGCTTTTCCAAATTTTAGATCAGAAAAGAAAGGTAGATTCAATAGAAAAAGGCAATAGCAATGGGAAAGACTAAATTGTAACTTATAAAGTATGTATATTATTTTAAAATATATCCAAGTGTATATGAATCACTGTAAAATAACTGTGTATGAATGGTTATGCTCTGATCTTTATTATCTGTTTCTCCTTATTGTTCCTACTGTATTTACACGGTGAAGGCTTTATGTTTTCCTCGGATACCCTAAATACTCAAAGCTCCCTTTTATGGGAAAAGTGTATGTATTCAAATAGTTTCTCCCAAGAAACCCACAAATTATTCCCATGAACAAACGAGACACCATGTTGAATGAAGAACTCAAAAGAGAGATTTAAAAATGATAATTGAGGGGCGCCTGGGTGTTTCAGTCAGTCGAGCCTCTGACTTTGGCTCAGGTCATGATCTCGTAGTTGAC